ACTTTTGACAAGAGGAGGGAGTTGCATCAAAGAGCGGCCCATGTTACCCTAACCTGGTTCAGGCACCAGTACATGCCACTCCAGGTGCATGGTGGGCCTCTCCAGTGGCCATACTGGGATTGTTGGGCTGCATATCATCAGCAATTTTCCCATACCTCTAGTCTCTCTCATGGGGAATATAGGAGAAATGCATCCCTACTGCAGCTGCTCCTCCTTCATTACCTCAGGCACAAGAATCCTTTGAGGAGTAGGAGTCCAGAGCATATAAAGAGGTTACTTCCCCCCAAAATACTTCTTTATCTTCTCCCGATGAAGCAGGTATGCCTCCCACATCGACTGTTGCTGATGACTTCAGACACTTCCAAGAGCTAATGAAGCACATTGCGGATTCTCTCCAGATCCCTTTGGAAGAAATCAGAGAGACACAACATAAGGTCCTGGACATTCTCCAATGGACTCCCTCTACCTGAGTTGCCCTGCCTATTAACAAAGGCCTGCCAAATCCATCTCATAGACCTCTGTGATGATCCACTGATATACAAATAGGCCAATAAGAAATATTACATGCCAGCTAAAGATTCTGAATTTTTGTGCATCCATCCAAAACTGAACTCCCTGGTTATGGAGGCAGTGAATGAATTTTGCAGACCACACCATGTGAAGGCCACACCAACAAAGGACCAATACTGCCTAGATCTATTTGATAGGAAAACCTACTCAAACACAACTCCTTAATTGAGGATAATGAACTATCAAGCTCTCATGGCTACATATAATCATTACAATTATGCCATCTTTATTGAGCAGCTGCAGGCTGATCAGTGTGACCAGTTTCAGGATATTATTGATAGTCTAATTCTAGCTATAATTCCATCATTGGAACCAGAGGGATTCATCTTTGGCGATTGACATTCAGGATGCCTATTTTCATATTGCAATTCACCTATCTCAAAAACCGCATGAGTGTTTTCAAAGATTCTGGCAGTGGTTCTGGCAGTGTTCTGACAGAACAAAGAGCAATGGTCTCAAGTTACAGTGCGGGAGGTCTAGGTTGGATATTAGGAAAAACTATTTCACTAGGAGGGTGGTGAAGCACTGGAATGGATTACCTAGGGAAGTGGTGGAATCTCCATCCTTAACGGTTTTTAAGGCTCAGCTTGACAAAGCCCTGGCTGGGATGATTTAGTTGGTGTTGGTCCTGCTTTGAGCAGGGGGTTGGACTTGATGACCTCCTGAGGTCTCTTCCAACCATAATCTTCTATGATTCTGTGATTCTATAATTCTATGGTTGCACCTTGCTTTTGACATATGGGAATTACAGTTTTTTCCTACCTCAACAACTGCCTACTCAAGGGCTGGTCTCACAGTAAGGTTTTTGAATACCATAAAGAGTGATTTGTTTCAGAGTAGCAGCCGTGTTAGTCTGTATCCGCAAAAAGAAGAACAGGAGGACTTGTGGCACCTTAGAGACTAACAAATTTATTAGAGCATAAGCTTTCGTGGAGTGAGAGATTTCTGATCAGTGGGCTAGGATTTTCACTGAGCTAGGGTTGCAGCTAAACCTTGAAAAATCCATGTTGAGCCTGGTACAAAGAACAGAGTTCTTAGGAGCCGCCCTAGATGCTATATCAGCGAGGGCTTATCTTCCCTCCAACAGATTCTCTAAGTGTCATCTGCAAATTTGTCTGCTCTCTATTCCTACATCGAGGTCATTAATAAAGATGTTAAACAATACTGGACCCAGAACAGATCCCTGTGAAACCCCACTTGAGACCTCCCTCCAATCTGATATCATTTTATTAATACTTACTCTTCGTTTGTGTAAGAAGTTGTGTAACCAGTTAATAGTAGTTTTGCCAAGCCAACATTTCTCTATCCTACCCATCAGAATGTCATGTGGAACTGTATCAAAAGCCTTGCAGAAGTCCAGATATATTTTGTCCACTGCATTCCTCCTAACCACCAGACCAGTTACCCTGTCAAAGAAGGAAATCAAGGTGGTTTGGCATGATTTGTTCTTAGTAAATCCATGCTGACTGCTAGTGACTACCCCTTCATCCTCCAGGTATTTTCAAATTGAATGTTTTAAACATAGCTCTAGCAGCTTCCCAGGTATTGAAGTCAGGGTGACTGGTCTATAGTTCCCCGGCTCCTCCTTATACCTTTTTTTAAAGATGGAGACTAAGTTCTCTCTTCTCCAGTCTTCCGGGACCTCTCCTGTGATCCATAAGTTTGCAAATATTATTGGCCTTTCTGGGGATGACTTCACCACAATCTATAATTACCTACACGCAGAACAAATATTTGATAATGGGCTCTTCAAGCTATATTAAAGGATGAAAATCCTGACGGAATATTTTAAGAGGAGCAAAATCACAAAAATATAATTGTCATGAAAATGGAAAAGCTAGATTAATAACAAAACATTAGAGAAGTGAAATGATATGTTGGCATATTTGTGTGAATTACAATTAATTTGGAGAAAATTTTCATGAAACAACTGCTCCTCTTTAAAGATCTCACATAGAATTGATTTTCTGTTCAGAATGGAGATTCTAACGGGTTTTGGTCTTTTTACTTCTAGTTTCTCTTTGAAGATTCCAATGAAACTTTGTTGACATTGAAGATGGTTCAATATATCCATTTGACAAGTGAGGTGAATTATTTACTCTTATTTATTATGGGCACAATTGTGACTGATGTTATACATCTACACTGGGGAATCAGAGGGCATAAGTTGCCCTCTTAGTCCCCTGCACTGGTTATCTGTATAGAGGGTAGAAGCTCTGGTATAGATTGAATCCAAATGATTTATTATTTTCTCCTATTGAAAGAAAAGCCAGTTATCATTTGAGAAGGAAATCTGTATTTTGGAAGAAAGCAAGCCAGCTTTATTTCTGTACTTCAACTATTTATCATATTCATGTCCTTTTTTATAAGTTCTAACAGTTTTTTCTACTAGGTCATTGGAAACTGGATGGTATGGGGAAATGTAATTGTTTTATCCCATTAGTGTGGGTACTCCTCTTTAGGTGAGTCTGAGTCCCTGCACCTGCGATCAGAGATTCTTAGTAGCAGTACCAGTTTGGGGTACACGTGCTCCCCCGTCTCATGCTGTTCCCTGGTGTCTATATAGCACTGTGCGGCCAAACTCTCCATCACCGTGCCTCAGTGGGTCACAACTGAGAATACCAAATTCAGGACAAACTGCTGAGAAATGGGGCAGACTCACCCCAAACTGGTGGTTATTCTTCAATAAGATATACCAAACCACCAACAAAAGTAAACTTCTGTCTCACTATACTGGCTAACAAGAAGTCAGAAATGCAGTCTCACTAGGTAGCCCAGCCCTGGTTTCACCACCCATATAGGAGATGATGAGTGGTTAATTAAAGCCAATTTAAACAACCAAAGGGTTCTTCTGATCCCAAAGGACCAATCACATACCTGTTACATAACTGCACTCAGAAACAAAGCAATGTACAACTTTAGAGCTTACAAGTCCACTCGGTCGTACTTCTTGTTCAGCCAATCACTAAGACAAAGAAGTTTGTTTACATTTATGAGAGAGAATGCTGCCTGCTTCTGATTTACAATATCAACTGAAAGTATGGCACTGTTGTAGCCAGCATTGCAAGCAGGGCCGGTGGAAGGATGTTTCGCGCCCTAAGCGAAACTTCCACCTTGCGCCCCCCCGTCCCCGAGCTCCCCCCCGAGGTGCCCCCCTTGCGGCAGCTCCCCACCCCCCCACCCTGAGGAACCCCCCTCCCCTCCCCATGGCAGCTCCCCACCCTGAGGCACCCCCCCCCCGCGGCAGCTCCCCACCCCGCACCCTGAGGCACCCCCCCCCACTCCAGCTCACCCCTGCTCTGCCTCCTCCCCAAGCACGCTGTGGCTGCTTCACTTCAATCAGCTTAGGCGCCGCAAGCCTGGGAGGCGGGAGAAGTGAAGCAGCCACGGCGTGCTCAGGGAGGAGGCGGGGCAGGGGTGAGCTGAGGCGGGGAGTTCCCCTGCATGCACCCCCCCTTGCTGCAGGCGGCCCTCCCCGCGCTCCACTGCCCCAGCTCCCTCCGCCTAAATGCCGGCGGTGACCAGGGCGGCTGAAGATCCGGCCACCGCAGTTGCTGCCGAAGAAAATGGCACCCTCCAAATCCTAGTGCCCTAGGCGACCGCCTAGGTTGCCTAAATGGTTGCACCGGCCCTGATTGGAAGGTATTTACATGCCAGAGATGCTAAACATTCGTATGCCCCTTCATGCTTTGGCCACCATTCCAGAGGACATTCTTTCATGCTGATGATGCTCGTTAAAAGAATAATGGTTAAATAAATTTGTGACTGAACTCCTTGGGGGAGAATTGTATGCCCCTACTCTGTTTTACGCGCATTCTGCCATATATTTTGTGTTGTGGCAGTCTTGAATAATGACCCACCACAT